TAATCAACCTACCTTAAATGATTAGTGGCGACTTCCATTCAAAATATTTGCATGCTCACAATTGGACCTAAGTTGCGATTTGGTAGAGTTTGGGAGAACTCGAGCTAGGTTAGTTAATTTAATTGATCTAGTAATCCATTAGCCTAAGATAAAAAAAACCCGATTTTTTTTTAGGTCGCGACACCATGTTATATGCCTAGTGTGACTAAGGATGGGGTAGCATGGCGGGCCTCGCGTGCGTAAATTCATGTTGATCTAATTGTGTGATTTATATGTGTGGATTATGTACCATGCGAGAGTGATTTGAATCGCTTAGATGGACATGCTATTATGTTGGTTGGGCATATTGAAATGTGGATTGAGCATGTTGTGGCGTTGTTTTGAATAAATAGTCAAATCATATTGAGTGCCCAGTGTGAATTCCACAAGTGCCGAGTGCGGATGTTGTGGCCATGAGTGTGTATCTCAAGCATTGGCATGGCATGTACATATACGAGTGTGCACGGATGACATGAGCATGTGATCACTTAAAATGCCCTGATGCGTTTTACGCGGGGTTCAGATAATAACTGGTGTGTGTGAGTGTGTGATCACATAAAGCCCTGATGCGTTTTACGCGGGGTATTGAACCCGTCCTGAGGCGTGCTACGCGGGATGATGCCCGGACTACCGGAAGATGACCAACCTGAGGCGTTTTACGCGGGTTATGTGTCATAAGCCTGATGCGTTTTACGCGGGCCAGAGATCGATCTCGAAGTGATGAACCTGATGCGTTTTACGCGGGTCGGACCTGATGCATTTTTACGCGGGTCGGAGGAGAATTGATAAATGGCAAGTGTGCAAGAGTGCAAGTGTGCGAAAATGCATTGATGAGCATGAGCAGGAGTGTGAGCATGAGCATAAGCATATGCATGACATGCGTTGTGATCAAGCGATGTTATGTATGTGCCACAATCGGATCTTGTGTTGTTATTGTGAATTTATGAAGTGCCTAACCTGCAGGGTCAAGTAAGTATTGGATTTGGGCCCGAGGGCCTGAGTCATTTATGTTTGAATTGTGTGTTGTTTAGTGCTCGTCAGGAGGTGCATGTTAGCCTAGTTTAGGTTTAGGGAACCTATTCGCTGAGATTTATTTTCACTGTTATATAAACCCAATTTTTCAGACCCCCGGCCTTAAGATGTCTATCGTGCCTGTTCGTTTTGGGATCCCTTACCGGATAGACCGGGAGGAGACGGTATACCCCGCAGGGAACGGGGATTTCTACGTTAGATATCTGTCTACAGTTTGGGTTGATTCGGGCGAGGAGCTTGACCAGGCCCACAGGTACATAGGGTGGTGTATTAGGGACCATACAGGGACTTACGGGCCTCTTCGATCTTTCGAGGTCCCGTTTACCGATGCCGGGGATGTTGACCCTCAGTGTCCCGATGGGGAATTGGCGAGCCCTGACCGTGCGCCGGAGGATGGGGATCTAGACCTGGAGCCGATGGATTTGGAGGATGAGGAACCAGAGCCCATGGAGCAGGACATGGAGCAGGAGGACGAGGACGAGCCGATGGATTCCGAGGAGGAGTCAGTTGGGGCCGAGTCCGAGCAGGATTCCCTAGACTCTGTGGTTGAGCTGTCTGATAGCTCTTCCGAGTCATCGGGATCCGACTCGGATTGGGTTCCGTAGGTTTAGCCTTAACCCTAGATAGATCGGGCCAGTAACTTTTTGACCGGAGCCCCTTCTAGTTTTAGTAACCCTGACCGCCCGGGCCACTTACCCCTTTTTGTCAGTAGTGGCCATTGACCCGCTTTTGATTTTTGAGCGCAAGCTATAAATGGATAGTGTATATGTCCTCCAAATCAATGCAAGTGTATATTTGTTCATATTGTTGGTTGTGTGGCTATTCTTGGTCATGTGTTATTATATTGTACGGGTGTTATAATACTTCCGCATGTGCTTTAATCTTTGTGTTGGGCGTTGGGTCGGCGACGCGTCCTGGGACGTCGCACTCGAATTCGACCTCTGCGAGGGATGTTGCGCGCCGTAGGGTGCGGGGCGTGACAATAAGTGCATTATTGCCTATTGGTTAGTAGAGGAGTTTTGGCCATAACGATCGACTGCAAGGCATGCTCGTGAATTGAATATGAGAGACGAGAGTATTCAAGCCAGTAAATCTTATGGTAAGATTTGTGAATTCTTTTGGGTGATTGTGAGTTTGTAAGGAGTTGTGAGGGTTAAAAACATGTGCGTTATTGGGTGTAATTTATGGCTAGAAAAGATCGAGAGCGTTTGAATGACTCGAGTATAATTCTAATCTCCACTGTTTCGCTTGATCTAAGGTATACTCATATGCTGCTTTCCTCATAAAGTAGATCACACCGGCTGAACTACGTAAATACAATATTACGTGAATTTTTTGTTCTTTTTATTTTATATATCGATTGCTTGTTTTTTTTTTTTGGCAACGGAAACATTATTATCACTACTCAATGAACCCACGAAGGCGATTATCTAGGGGAAAAGTGCCAAAAAAGTCATAAACCTTTTGCATTAGTGCCAATTTAGTCCTAAACCCTTTGCATTGGTGCCAATTTAGTCCTAAACCTTTTTTTGGTGCCAATTCAGTCTTAAACCTTTTAAATTGGTGCCAATTCAGTCCTAAACCTTTTATTTTTGTGCCAATTTAGTCCTTCCGATCAATTTTGACCGGAATTTGCCGACGTGGATGCCTGCCGGCCGGCGGTAGGTCACCGGTGCCGACGTGGACAACTTTAATAATATTTTAATATTTTTTTGAATTTGTATTTTTTTTTCCACTTTTTTTTTGTCTCTCCCTCCTTCCTCTGGCCGGTCGCCGTGGCGACCGGCTAGAGGCCAGAGGCCGGCGAGCTCGACCTTGCCGGCCATTGGCGAGGGTGGCCTCCGGCAAGGTCGCTGGGCGAGGCTCGAGCCCTCGCCGGAGGTCGCGGCAAGGGCGAGCCTTGCCATAGTCGGGCGAGGCCCAACCTCCCCAGATCTGGCGAGGTCGAGCCTTGCCCGGGCCTCGCCGGATCCGGCGAGGTCGAGCCTCGCCCGCCGACCTCGCCGGATCCAGCGAGGTCGAGCCTCGCCCGACCAAGGCGAGGCTCGCCCTTGCCGCGGCCTCCGACGAGGTCGCTGGGCAAGGCTCGCCCTCGCCGCGGCCTCCGGTGAGGTCTCTGGGCGAGGCTTGACCTCGCCAGATCCGGTGAGGTCGGGCCTCGCCCGATCATGGCGAGGCTTGCCCTCACCGTGGCCTCCGATGAGGGCTCGAGCCTCGCCCAGCGACCTCGCCAGAGGTCGTTGCGAGGCCGCCCTCGCTAGTGGTGGCGAGGTTGAGCTCACCGGCCTCTGGCCTTTGGCCAGTCGCTGAACCGGCAACCTGCTAGAGGAAGGAGGGAGAGACCAAAAAAAAAAAGTGGAAAAAAAGAAAAAAAATAAAAATTCATAAAAATATTAAAATATTATTAAAGTTGTCCACGTCGATGTCGGTGACCGACCGCAGGCCGGCAGGCGTTCACGTCGGTAAATTCCAGTCAAAATTGACCGGAAGGACTAAATTGGCACAAAAACAAAAGGTTTATGACTGAATTGGCACCAATTTAAAAGGTTTAGGACATAATTGGTACCAAAAAAAGGTTTATGACTAAATTAGCACAAATGCAAAAGGTTTAGGACTGAATTGACAGTAAAAAAATGTTTAAGACTAAATTGGCACTAATACAAAAGGTTTAGGACTTTTTTGGCGCTTTTCGCAATTGTCTAGAGATGCACATGCCGATAGCCGCCAAGGGGGCTTTAAAAAAAGTTCAGAAGCCACGTAATTGCCTGCAAGAGACCACGTTCTTCTGCTTCTACAAGAAAAGAGACTATTACTCTCCAGTCTCGCCTAGCCCAGTCAATATCATCAAATATTTATTTCACACGAATTTCACTTGCATTTGCTCCTGTCATACTTATTTGTTTTTTGCGGCTGGTTGCGTTTCGGAGAGGTTTTGGGAATTGCCGTTACATTTAATGCAAATGCTTTTAGGCTAAAAGGTTCCGATGATATGCAAATAGCATTCGTAAAACACTTGAACCCGTATTGACCTTTTTTGGCCTTTGAATAGTTCTGTTTTCTCCCGCTATTGCTCATAATCTGCGATCCTTTTAGTCCTCCTCTCTGTCTATTTTCCATTACCTCCATAATTGCCCATATTATTCTTTGATAGATGAACAAAAAACCGAGATGCGTTGCTTTTGCGTAACGCGATGATGATGCAAATGTCGAGTTTAAAGGATAATGGACCGATTCCTTTGTACCAAACACGCGATAAGTACTTTAACTAAGGAATTTATACCACCACAAGTCCCGGTTGGAGCAGAGAATTTGTACAGTGATTCATAAGTCGAGACTTGCATCAAATTGTATCACCGTGGACAATCTTTCTTAGGGCACTAATGAACAGACCGCTGCTTTAAGCCTTTTTCTTTTGAGAGTTTTACGAGGGAATTTGGTTGCTTGGGGGGAACGCACTCTGGTCTTTTTACTTCTTTTTTTTTATTAACTGTTGCTTTGCAATTTGATTTGTATTGATTGTGAAGTATCTAAAACAGTTTTCAAATATACAAATATTGACACGTACAGCGATGTCATTGTTTTCCCAATTTTTTTAAATTTTGCAATAATATTTGAAACTTTGACGAGAAGGTGGACAAATAACTTTCAATTCAAAAGAGAAAATGAAGAGAAATCCAAACTAGCTCCAATTTCTTTGTTCTGAATCGGATCATCAACATTGTGATAATATAATAAGGGGAAAATTTTAATTTTCTTTTTTTTGTTTTCTTGTTACTGATCGTCCTTAGGAAAAATTTGTGGCAGAAAGTGGACCCGTTGGTAAAATGTGGGTTGAGGGGAGGTTCATTGAAGCCAATCAGATTGAACTCGACTTGTGGCTATAAATATGCTTAATTTGAGTCCTAGGACACCAGGCCAATTCACTCAAAGTCACAGGCATAGTCACGCACGGAGAGATGGATGTGAATCTGTCCATAGATGACCAGGAGATTTGGAAGCAGAGAAGGGAGAGATTGGAAGCGTTAGTCGGGGCTGATCCGAGCCGGCGACAGCACAATACTGCACAACCCGACAAGGTTGTGGATCCCCAGCTATTGTCGGTTGCAAAGGAAGGGGACGTCGACAAGTTCATCAAAGCCCTGGAGGATCATTGTGCCAAGGATAGAGTGTCGTTGCCCGTCCTTCTCGGGCTACGCAGCCCCTCCAAGAATACACTGCTTCACGCTGTGGCAGGTATATTAACAAGGTTGTGACCGTGCATTTCAAAATTCTCGATCTTTCGTGCTCAAATTAACCTGACATGAATGGCATACAGAGAGTGATGATAACGTCAAAGCGGTCATTGATTTCGTCCCTGAGTTGATCACCTGTAAGAACTCCAGAGGAGAGATGCCGCTGCACATTGCGGCCAGAGCTGGGAAAACTGTTGCGGTGGAGCTTCTCCTTCTCCAAGGGATGTCGAGAGACACTGACTGCTGCGGCAACTCTGCTCTGCATGAGGCCGTGAGGAATCACCATTGCAAGGTGATCGATCAGCTGGTGAGTAAAGACCCCGATCTGCTGTATTATCAGAACAACGATAGCAAGTCTCCATTGTGCGTAGCAGTTGAAACAGGGGACTTGGAGGTTCTCACGCACTTGTTGGATGCGCCAAACAATGGCGAGGACCAGAGGAGATCAGAGAGTGAAAGGATCTTCCGCATGTCACCCGTTCATGTCGCCATTATACGCAAGGAAAAGGGTAAACTCTATTTTTGTGCTCTCGCTTATTCTTTGACCTTCTTGGTCACTCTCTCGTGTTCTTCATTTTGGTTTCCGCTGGTGGTGGAAAAATCAAGTGTCACAAGCAAAGTCCAGATTAATGAGGCACGTGTACATGTGGTATGATAGCTTGCTATCCCATGGGGCAAATTGTGAGTCAACTACCGATACTTTCGGTCGTCTAGAATGGGATCAACCCCTGTTGAAGAATTACGGACAACGTGTTCGTCCAAAATGATTAACTTCTTGCGTTATATTTAGATATGCTGATCAAGATGTGGGAAAAAAAGCCGTGGCTATTTCAATTGAGAGATGCGGGAGACGGCACTCCACTCCACTTAGCAGCATACAAGAATTACCTCGATGGAGTCAAGTTCTTGATTGAGAAGTTCCCAACAAGCACCCTGGAGCAAGACAGCACTGGCTATCTCCCTATACATGTCGCCTGCATGATGGATCGCGTCATGATAGTCAAAGAGCTACTTCAGCAGTGGCGAGACCCCGCAGAGTTTCCAGCTAAGCAGGGACAAAACATTCTTCACGTGTCCGCGAGATACGGAAGCACCGCAACTGTCGAATACATACTGAAAAGTCCCAAATTTGGTCACCTCATAAATGCAAGAGATTTTGAGGGGAATACACCTCTGCATCTGGCTGCGTTGCACTACCAACCTTCGGTCGTGCTTCTTGCACGAGACACAAGAGTTGATAAAAAGCTGGTCAATAACGATCACATGACGGCTCTTGACGTGGTAGAACAGGACATTCAAGTAAGATTTCCTTCGTATGGGCGGGTACGACCTTCTACACTTTTCCCACCGGTAATCATTTGTTGTACCAATCAGGGATAGAACTAGAACATAAACTACTTAGGCATGTCATTAGGTGTGCTCTCACCCACATCAGTAATAAGTTGCCAAAATCATAATGTGTTTGGTTTCTTTTTTTATTCTTCAACTCACTGCTTGCAGGGGTTGACGTGGATGACTCTAACAATTGCCAAAACACCGACAAGCCCAGAATTAGCTATTTGCAATCCAACCGGTCGGAGCCTACGGAAACGACTTGAACGGCGGATGGACTGGGAGGGACATAGGGACCAAGTGGATTCTCGTGCGGTCGTGTTGGCGCTCGTGGCCTCTGTCACTTTCACTTCTGGTTTTTCCGTTCCCGGAGGATATCATGGTTCTGAAGGAGATGCTGGAATCCCCATATTGCTCCACAAAGCCATGTTTAATGTCTTTGTGATTAGCAACTCCGTGGCCATGTATAGCTCCATCACGGCACTTGGGATCCTCTTCTGGTCCTATGTTCGTGATCCTTACGTGGGGCCGGGTGCCCTTTTGCTATCAAATACCCCATTGTGGGTAACTGCTGCCGCAACGCCTCTGGCATTCATGGCGGGCGTCTACGTGACCGTATCCAAACTCCATTGGCTTTCTATTTTTACCTTGGTCTTGGGATCCGTCGTCCTCTCCATTCTCTTGACTGTCTTCATGTTGATTCATATACCGGTTGCGTGCAGAAATCCTTTCATTCGTCGCTTCACTGACAAACTGCTTCTTTGGGGTCTTCAAAAAACAGGGGGAGACACTGCAGTTACATTTATCCGGGGCACTCGTGATGATAAACCTTAGCGTATAGGTTCTAGAAAGATGACATCTGATCCAACAATCCATTAATCTCTCACTAATGACGTACCGATGTCCGTACCTTTATCACCCTCTTAGTTACATTAGCTGCTGCTGTTTCGATTTGCCTAGCCCGCCTGCCTGCGGTCAGAATGAGTGATGTCTACAATTTTAGTGTGATCCAAAATACTGTGTGATTAGCTACTCAATGATATCTATATATGATAGCAAAGTTCCAGTTTTGCAATTAAATCGCATCATCACAAAGTTCCATTCCCTTTCACTTTGCTTAGCATTAGTTAGACACATACGTTGACATTAATTAGAAAAGAAAATTGAATTGCCTCATTCAATTTAATATAATGTTTCCAGGCGAATATATCGGCATCACTCTGCCTTACTTATTAATTCGGATGTAATGATGATGTATATTGGTCAACAAATTTAAACTCACCAATCAATGATTTTATCTGTTTTTCTCTTTTATGTTATTGACGTATAATGCTTCTAGTTACAATAAAATAAGGGTTAAGAGAATTGTGCAGGGTAATCTATTTTTTTTCCAAGCTATCAATTTACCTAAAAATTTATTGATGTACACCCATGATATATGATCTCATATACATATAACATATATATATATATATTTACATATAGGAAAGAGGGTTTTGTTCACTAAATGAGGATCATTAATTAATTTATTTCTATAGCTGTCTTACGGGAGCTATTTTTTCACTTATCATTTGCTTTTTGTGGACTGAAAATTGAGAGGTTGAAGTGAGCTACTATGACGAGAAAGAGGTGGGTTTAGAGCAAAGGCGAAGTGTTTGAAATTTTAAAGAATATATGATCCGACAAATCCACACTTCATTCCACGCGAATTTCACTCGCATTTCATTTATATCTACTTCACTCGTACTAATTTGTCGTCTCTCTCTCTCTCCCTCAGTCACTTCTTCGTCAACGTCCACGAGATGAAAGAGAACGACGAGCCCGTGGGCCCTCTCCTCGTCCATAATTTGCTCCACTCGCTCCGCTTCCCCCTCAAGGCCTTGCTTTCACAGAGAGAGAGAGAGAGAGAGAGAGAGAGAGAGGTGGTTTAGAGAAGGCATTGTGTTGGCTCCGAAGGAGGGTGGTGAGTGGCTCTGTTTTTGGTTTGATCATCTTTTTTTTTTTCTGTGATTTTATGGCTTTTGTCTGGTCATGGCGAATGGCGATGTCGTTCAGCAGCAGAATTTGTTGGTTCTGGTCTTGTTGGCCTGAAGATCGTCTTCATTTATGTCCGTGTATTCTTGTCCGTGCGATACTCTTAGGGCATCATTTGCCGTGGGATGATTCTGTTCTTTCAGTTGCATGCTCTGTGTAGCGCAGGAGGATCTGTTATTTTTAGCGATTCGAATCTCGGATGCAAGTCCAGATGAGTTCTTTTGTTTAATCTAAATCTCGCGACTCAAATGTTCTTCTTTTTTTTTTTTAATTTCTAAGCACTTGAAATTTGCACAATATACAACTATTGAAATGTAAGTTCACATGCATTTTTTGTATAGTTTTTTGAAATTTAAATTTCAGTAAAAAAGTAAAATAAGAAATTTTAACGGAGATGTAATTCTGAACAAACAAGCCTTTTACCACAGCTATGTGAAAATTTTTTTCCCACGTGGGGCGTAAGTGACGTCACCCCGTTAAGGTAAGAAAGACAGAGAAACAACAACGAATGGACCCTTTGAGCCTTTTCTATAGGATAAGTGCATTGAAAGTTTTCAAACTTGTCATGAAAGTGCAATTGAGTCCTAAACCTTTTTAAAAAGTGCAATTAAGTCCTATAACTTGTCATGAAAGTGCAATTAAGTGATTAAACTTTCAAAAAGTTCAATCAAGTCTTAAAACTCGTCAAATTGATCCAATCAAGTCTTTCTTTTAATTGAATTTTTTAAAAGTTTTATAACCCGATTATACTTTTGTGCTAAGTTTTAGGATTTGATTGTACTTTTTTTAAAATTTTAGGACTCGATTACACTTTTGTGACAAGTTTTTATGATTTGATTAACTTTTTTAAAATTTTAGGACTCGATTGCACTTTCGTGACAAGTTTTAGAACTTTTTGTATACTTATCCTTTTCTTTTAATAGTTTTATGAGGCAATGGATTGTGCGGGGCTAAAGAAGTCTAGTCATTTTTACTTTTGGGATTAAATTCTACACTATCCTTATTGTGATATCAATATCTTAAATTTTTTTCTATCACAAAAAAATCTAAACTCCACCAACTGTGACACTAACACCCTAAACATTTTTGTGTTACCAAAACTCTTAAACTATACCCACCGTACCAATACCCTATATTTTTTGTCATATTAGCACAAGTCTGGGTATAGGTAAGACGATAAAAAATTTGAGGCATTCGTGTCACAGTATACGAAGTTTAGAGTTTTTAGTGGTAGATAGGGTGCTTTTGTTACACTAATATAAGTTTAGGGGTTTTAGTGACACAAATTTTTTTTTTGGATAATGGTGTTATAGTGGGCATAGTTTTAGGTTATTAGTGGCATTTGCCCTTACTTTTTTCAATTTGTTTCTTTGCAATTTGATTTTATTTAGTGTAAAATATCTAAATTTTTTTAAAATATATAAATACCGACACCTATAACAAGATAATTTTCTTTTTCTAATTTTAAAATTTTAAAATAATTTTTAAAATTTTGAAGAGAAGGTGGACAAGTAATTTCTTTCAAAAGAAAACAGATTTACCCCCAAAACCAACGTAGATTTAGGAATTCATTGCGTCAAACGCGTTAGTTTGTTCCAGATCTCTTTTACTATTCGATCACTTTTAGGGGAAAAACATTAATTCGGTGCAACTCCACATGGGCAAAGTGTATTTTGCCATTTCTTAAATTTTCTTTTCTTTCTCATTTCTGGTCGTCCTAGGAAACATTTGTGGCAGAAAGTGGACCCGTCCTTCACCGTCAGTTAAAGTATTTCTCTATAAAGAAGGAAAAAGAGATGAATATTAGCACAGGAGACCAAGTTTACACAACAGTATAATGTAGGTAGGGGAGTTTCATTAAGGCCAATCTGGTTGAACTCGACTTGGTCGCCGTAACTCTGCTGAATTTGATTCCTAGGACACCAGGGCAGTTCACTCGAAGCCACAGGCATAGTCACACACAGAGAGATGGATGTGAAGCTGTCTATAGATGACCAGGAGATTTGGGAGAAGAGAAGGCAGAAACTGGAAGCGTTAATGGGGGCCGATCCGAGCCAGCAACAGAACGATCCTGTACAACCCGACAAGATTATGGATCCCCTGCTATTCTCGCTCGCGAAGGAAGGGGACGTCGACGAGTTCATCAAAGCCCTGGAGGATCATTGCGCCAAGGAAGGAGTGTCGTTGCCCGTGTTGCGAAATTCAAATCGGCATTAGTATAAAAATTACAAACAATACAGAATCGCAAATAAACGAAATTGCAATAACAAAGTTGGAATCGATACAAATGAATACCGAGGCCTGTGTTTGACACAGTTTCCTTAAAACAGATTCGTTCCCTTCAAGACACGTCCGAGGTTTCGTGAACGTCTGTCTCCCAGGATACAACGGTTGACAGCGAAGAAGAGATCACGACACTTCCAAGCTTTCGGCGAACTTGAACAAACTCGAAAATGAACACTATCGAAAACTGTACAAAATGCAGAGAATGTGAAACAGAGGAAGAATGATTTCGATAAAAATAGAATGCAGGGGATAGCATTTCGGGAATAATAACGGCCAATTAAATCTATCGTTACAAAATCAATACGAATAACGGACGATTAAATCTGCAGTTATAAAATCAATACGAATAACGGACGATTAATTCTGCAGTTATAAGATCAATACGAGTAACGGATGATTAAATCTGCTGTTACAAAATCAATACGCATGGGAATAACGGCTGATTAAATCTGCCGCACGTTATGAAATTCGTCGTAACAGTTTGAGTTGAAAAATTAAATCAGAAGGCAAAATTGGGCTCGTCGCGAGGCCCACTTTTCGGTCCTACAATCGTGTACGCAGGATGCGCGCTTGCACCCAAGTTTCAGCTTGTCGAGCGTCGGATTTGCACCCCCCTGCGCCTGCGCGCGAGGCAGAGAGTTTGTGCTATGATAGTTACCACTTCAAATAAGTGTAACTGTATATAAAGCACTCCATAGCCTTCTTTCTTTTCCTATGTGGGACTAGTGTTTTTCCACTTCCCACTTCCAACTCAAGGGTATTCTTTGAGCATCAATTTCTCATTCATTCACCCATCAATTTATCCCATATTTCCAACAATCCCCCACATGAATGAAAATTGTTTTAGTTTTGACTCTGTGATAGTGTTCAACAATTGAAACCTGCATAGGATAGGTAGGTGTTACCCTTTGAACCTTTCCTTGTGAAAGTATATTTACTTTACTTGTTGTCCAGTAGACATGATGTCCTTGAACTGTCCAGCTTTCTTATGTAAATGAACCATACACTTCACACAGGAATCATCTAAACATTTGTTCAGTTCTCATAGTTATGTTCGTTTTGGCCATGAACATCAACCTGGTTCTGCAAGAGTTTCTAAAGAATTTAGCCATAATAATTCTCCTTTGAAGTGGCCCCACTTCTCTCTCACATAGGTGATTACTTAATTTTGAGTAATTTGTTTACTCCACTTAAGAATCATTAAAGCAAAATGTTATCCTTTCCTTTACAATATCACTGATATTTTATATAGGAATGGATTTAGGGATAACCCCCACAGTGACATCACTAAGTTTATATAATTAGGTTGTCCCTTTGAACCTAGATCTTGGGATCTCCAGTCAACTAGGTTGGATTTCCTTTATACCAACTTATTCTTTCATGGGCTTCAGTCCCATTCCTCTTGTCGATTTCTCAACTAACTCTCTGTTTAACCCTTTGGTTAGCGGATCCGCAATATTATCTCTTGACTTTATGTAGTCAATAGAGATAATTCCTGTTGATAGTAGTTGTCTAATGGTATTATGTCTACGACGTATATGTCTAGACTTACCATTATACATATTACTCTGTGCTCTTCCAATCGCAGATTGACTATCACAATGTATACTTATTGGTGGCACGGGTTTTGCCATTTTGGAATATC